TCTCTTCTCTTCTCTTCTCTTCTCTTCTCTTCTCTTCTCTTCTCTTCCCTTCCCTTCCCTTCCCTTCCCATCCCATCCCATTTCTTTTTCAATCCAAACCAATCCCATCCCGTCCAATCCAGTCACTGGAATGACTTGCCTTCAGTAGTGGTGGGTGCTCCAACACAGGAAGTTTTTATGAAAAGACTGGGCACCCATTTGTGCAGAACAGTATAAGGTCTCTTTCTAGAGCAAGGGGTTGGGCTAGAAGACCTCCAAGGTCCCTTCCAACGCTGTTACTTTATGTTCTGTGAGATTTGCATGCTCAAGCAAAAGCAGAAAGCATCCTATCCACAGCCCCCCCACCCCCCCTTTCTCCTGTAGCTCTTTAACTGAGCCCACTTCAAAGGCAAACTTCTCCCCTCCCCCCTTGAAAAACCAACGTCTTGGCCTGATTAATGACTTCAATGAAGCAGAAGAAAGAAAACGAAGACCCTCCTTCCCCCCCCCCCGCCCCCCAATCATATAGTACGCCTGTTTCTGGATCCGATAAGTAACTCTGCGAGTGTTTTTCCAGTAAATCTGAAAAGGATATTTGACTCCTAATTATGTAACCATAGCAGCAGCAGCAGCAGCAGCAGCAGCAGCAATAGCTCAATTGCTCTCTCCCCCCCCCCACCCCATAAATTATATATATATCTGAAATGGAGAAAGCCTGGAGCAACTTGGAGGGGGATGGATTTTGATCTGGAAAAGTGTGTCATCTCCTTCCAATTCTAGAACTTGACGGAGTCTCGCCCAAAAGCAAAGCAGATCCCATAGACAGGAACTTTTGCCAAGGACTCATGATAGATATTCCAACTTGCCAGACCAACCTGATTATCCAACAAAGTCGGGACCTAGTTTTGAGATCTCTGAGAAACAAAACCCTTAACAACAACAACAACAACAACAACAACAACCACCACCACAGGAGTTAAGGGTTCCCTGCAAACTTTTCAATGCCAAGTTCCTGGAAAAGCAACCCTGTTGAACCCAACACAAGCCTCCTGCTGTCTCTCTGGCCTACATGACCCACCAGATCTGGGAGGCCGGCGATGTTAGGGGTCCCTTCTCCTAGGGAGGTCCATCTACTGCAAGGGTCAGCAACCTGCAGCTCTGGAGCCGCATGTGGCTCTTTCATCCCTCTGCTGTGGCTCCCTGTTGCAGGTCGGCTCCACAATTGAGAGGGCAGGGGGAGGAAAAAGGATGTTGCGCTAGAAGGAGACTCTATGGTGGGGGAACCGGACTTCCAGTCGGCTCCAGAATTGAACAGGGGCTTCCGGTTAGGACCTTTGTGGCTCTTTGAGTGTTTAAGGTTGCCGACCCCTGATCGAGTGACCTTCCCCATGGTGGCTCCCTCCCTGTTATCTGAAGGACCACCCCTCCCCAGTTATATCTACTCAACCCACCAGATCTGGGAGGCAGGGAACAATACGGGTCCCCTCTCCCAGGGAGGTCAGTCTAATGGGACCGAGAGGAACCACCTTCTCCCTGATGGCTCCCTGTCTGTGGAACGCCATCCCTGCAGAGATAAGATTGGCCACCTTCTTTTTTCTTACCAAATACGTCTTAAACTGAGAAGATCCTAAGCGGGAGATCCCTTCCGTAGGCTGGGCTGGCTTAGATGGCCTTTGCTCATCCGGGGCCAGCAGAACTTACGTTGTAGAGGATGTCGGTCCATCCTTCCATGGTGATGCACTGGAAGACGGTGAGCACAGCAAACAAGATATTGTCGAAGTTGGTGATTCCAAAGTTGGGGCCCTCCCAGTATTTCTTGCAGGTGCCTTCTTCACAGGGCCTCGCCGGCCAGTCTTCGCCACAGGGGAAATCTCCCAGCCTCTCACCTGCAGGGATATTTTTTAAGAAAAGTCATCAGAAAGATGGAGCTGTCCGGCCTGAATTTAGTTAGATTATGGACTGGGGGTATTTTGGGTGACTTCTGTGAACTCAGTTTGATACACTTGGGAGAGGAAAGCGGGGAGGCCTGAGGTGGATGGAGTTCCAGCCATAACAACAGATCTGGGTGATGAGTCAGCCATGTTCCGACCGCTGGTTGACCAGAGGAAGGAGGAGCGAAGTCTCTAAGCAACCGGTTCACATCCCGGTTGGACAATGCGATCGATCGTTTTGGAAAATGAGAAAAATGCTGCTTATAGTGACGTGGAAAGCCCAGGAACTTTCACTACTGGCTTGCCACTAGCTAGTGCCAAGATGGTGTATCTAAATAAATTGGTTCTTTGAGAAAACAGAATGCCTCGGAGTTCGTTTTATAATGGACACATTACTTGGAACCTGACCTTCCTATGAACTTCGACCATTATTCTCACTCCAGAAGCAAGCAAGACCACAGACAGGTGGCCTTTGACCACAGTGGAGCCCAAGATTTCTGTCACTAAGCAAGAGAGCTTTTAAGTGAGTTTGGACCCATTTCATGAGCTTTCCTGCCACAGTTTTAGACGGGAATCCCTGCAGCCGTTAAGTTAGTAGGACGGCCGTTAAATCAATCTGGCTTCCCCATTCGACTTTGCTGGTCGGAAGGCTGCAAAAGGGGACCTTGTGACTCCTCAGGGAGACGGCCACCATCCTAAAGTGGGCAATCATTTGTCTGAAATGGCATAGGGTTGGCTTGGGGGGGGGTGGACTTGGATCGAAGATCTCCCAAGGTCAATCAATCGGTCAGAATAGAGCTGGAAGGGACCTTGGAGGTCTTCTAGTCCAACCCCCTGATCAAGCAGGAGGCCCTAGACCATTTTTTGTCTCCAGGCCTTTGATCACCCGGGTTGCTCTTCTTTGCGCTTTTTCCAAAGTCCCAGATCTTTTTTGTAATGTGGCAACCAAAACTGGGTGCAGTGTTCCAGATGTGGCCTTACTTTAAGGTCCCTTCCAACTCTGTTCTTCTGTTACTTCGTTATTCCATGGTTATTGAGCCGTGGTGGTGCAGTGGTTAGAGGGCGGTATGCAGGCTCCTTCTGCTGACTGTCAGCTGCCTGCAGTTCAGCAGTTCAAATCTCACCAGGCTCAAGGTTGACTCAGCCTTCCCTCCTTCCGAGGTGGGTCAAATGAGGAGCCGGATGGTTGTTGGGGGCAAGAGGCTGACTCTGTAAACTGCTCAGAGAGGGCTGGAAAGCCCTGGGAAGCGGTATAGAAGTCTGTGTGCTATTGCTAATACTATTCTCTCCCCCACCCCACACAAAAGCTGTCTTGTTGGACTGGCCTCCCCATCACCCACCTGTTTCATTGGAGAAGCAAGCTTTGTGAAATTTGCCCATGTAGAATTCCAGACCGATGATGGCAAACATCACAATGGCAAAGAAGAGGAGGAGGCCGATCTGAAGGAGGGGTACCATCGCCTTCATGATGGATTTGAGGACAACTTGTAAACCTGGGCAAGGAAAAAAAAGAAGAAGAGAGAGAGACTCAGTCCACGGAGGATCTTAACAAAGAGAGGAGTCCAACCAGAAAATATCTCAGGGGGGGTAAAGACATTCCTCAAACATTGCTGACTTCTAGCCCAGTTCTCTGGGGATTTTCACCAGCTTGAGTTCAAATCCAGATCTTGATTTGCTCAGGCTGAACTTCACAAGAGCCTATCAAAGAGTGTTCATTTCTCAAGCAATTTCTCCAAGGAATATACCAGCCATTTCTTGGCGGCTGTTCCTGGAATCTCACAAAACTTTAGCAAAGCTGAACTATTGTAGGATGATGACAATTTAGAAACCTCTGTGTAATCCAAGTGTGGTCTTATGAAGGCCTTATAAAGGGGTACTAATCCTTCCATGTGATGTTGATTTTATCCCTCTGCGAAGGCAAAGGGGCAAAGCAAGATGAGATGTGGAATCAAAGTGACACCGCATTCTTCCACTTACTTGGGATTCCTGAGACAAGTTTCAGGGGTCTCAGCACACGGACGGCTCTCAGAGTTCGAAGGTCAAATTGGGTCCCAGCTGTAGCCAGAATCCTACCAAGGACAAGAGAGAAAGAGAGGGGAAATAGCATTAGTGTAGCAGAAGGAGAGGCAGAGCTGGCGGGGGGAGTCAAGAGAGTAATCAGCCTAGAAGTGGGCTAAGTCCAACCCCTCTTGAATTCTATTGGTTCTTATCTAGCACCAATTTCATGCTGACTGGTAGGTGGCTAGATTCCTGTGTATAGCCATGAGCAATAAAGCAGCTGAACTGCAACATAAAATGTGATCCTGATTCTCTCCTGCATGGCGATTAGAGCGTCATCTTTTGGGACTAAAGATCTTGCATCTATTCGCGCAGTAGCAACCATCTGCTCCAACAAAACTCATCTCAAACGTCCCCCCAGGACAAGTTCCCCGTAGTCATCACCTTAAATTGCTCATTTGTAAAACGGGAATGGCAGAAACTGGGGGTAGAGTCAAAAGAGAAATCAGCTTAGAATCCCTACATAGCCACAAGTGGACTTTATGGTGTACTCCAACCTTCCCTGAATTCCGTGGGTCCTTCTCTAATGCCCAGCAGGCACCAACCCTTACTTGAGAAGATTCCCATGCATAGGCTGTTTAGAAATAAATCGGTTTAATTGGACCTTCGTGGGTGGACCGGGACTGACAATGGCTGGCGGATATCAAAACATCCATGGTCCAGATGTTCCTCGTCAAACTGCCTCATCTCTGACCCAGGAGTTCTCAGGTGGCCTGAAGGGTGATATTGCCCTGCATGAATATTCACCAATAAAGGTGAATATTCGTAGCTCAGGACTGACATGAGGGCCCCCGGCGCCCTCTGAGCTTGGTTGTTTTCTTCCAGACGTTTCGTTACCCAACTAGGTAGCACCATCAGTGCTAGGTAACTTTATCACTTAGCCCCAGTGAAAGTACATAGTTGGGTGACGAAGTCTGCAAGAAAACAACCGAGCACAGAGAGACTCAACTTTAAACATTTTTCTTATTTGAGAGGATTCTTATTTTGAAAAGGGGAGGGGAAACTTGTGGTCTTGGCAGGTAACTTTGTCTGAAGTTGGAAGGCTTTGAATGAGACACCACCAGGAAATCTCAAAAAGTAGAACACACGGGCAGGACAAAAACAAATCTGGCCACCGTTTTTCTGTTGTTGCCAAGAACACAACGTGGACACATCCGTCAAGGCACCGGCAGTTGAATTTTACTCAAAGGAGATTTTATCCTTTCAAGTTCTTATGAAAAAAAATGAATCAACCAAATTTCCCTCATTGGCAAAGAGTTCAGAAGCCATCAATCCAGCAATAGGGGAAAAAAGACGTGGCCCAGGAATAAAATTAGAAGTTGTAAATTGCTGGAGGGAAGGGCAGATGAAACCGGTCCAAAACGGTATTTTGACTCTGTTTATTAACCGCTGTAAAGGCGTAGATCAAAGTGACAGCTCAAGAGGTGTGGAGAGAAATAGAAAGCCAACACCTGTTGGCGATGCCTCCTGCCTTAAATATTAAAGTATTATCTTAAAAGACAGACAGGAAATGCATTCGCAGTTGCAAAGAAGGGCCTGCTACATCTAACTGATCTTTTTTTTTGGGGGGGGGTGCAATTTGTCACAAGAGACCCTTGGAAATAGACCTTATTCTCTCCTGGATTTCACTCAAATGGTTTTATGGTGGACGGTCCTGCACGAAACGTTTTAAGAGGCTTAGTCTGGAGAAGAGAAGAGAGGCCAGGTCACTGTTTTCAAATACCAAAAAAGATGTTGCTGGAATAGAATTTACGGAGATGAGAAGGAAATAGATGATGGAGAACATTTGAACAGTGATATTAAAACTGTGAAGTGATGGGTGATGGGTTGTTTTTTTTTCTTTTCTTGGAGCTATTTGATTTAGATCTGTATCTATCTAATATTTTGAAACTCCAAGGGACTTAAAAGCCATTTTAAAGCTCGCAATAATGAAATACCCAAAACAAACAAGTAAGAGCCACGGTTATTTAACAACAAAGCCATTACAAAATGTATGTTGTGTGGTCCTTGGTGCTCTCTGACCTCGGCAGTTTTCTTGCAGACGTTTCTTTACCCAACTAGGTAACACCATCAGTGCTAGAAGAGAGTACACGGATGATTTTACCTAGTTTCATTTATTCAATTTTGATGTCACCCCACCCCATCTCCTCTATAAGGCAACTCATTACGTACTTGGATAATGAAATGTCTGCAAGAAAACTATCAAACTCAGAGAGCACCAAGTCCTCCTCCTCCTCCACCTCCTCTCTACAAATCCCACTCTTTTCTAACACTGATGATGTTAGCTAGTTGGGTAATGAAATGTCTACCAAAAACCCACCAAACTCAGACAGGACGAAGGACTCCAGGCCTCCTCCTTCTCCTCCTCCTCTTCCTCCACTCCACAAACCTCACTCCCTTCTAGCACTGATGACATTACCTAGTTAGGTCATGAAAGGTCTGCAAGGAAACCATCAAGCTCAGAGAGCACCAAGGACCCCTCATTTCAACCCCAGAGCTACAAAGATTCTCTTCTAAAATGTAGGTGGCCTAAGGTCCATCATCCTGAACGTCAATCCTCCATGGACCAGAGGCTGGTCAGGCAAAGATGATACCCAATACCCGTCCGAGGCTCTGAGCCTGGGAGGAAAAGGATTTCTGGACACACAAACAAACCCCTCATTAAAAACTCTCTTTGTTTTACGTATAGCAGGATGGACCTGCCTGCTCCCACAAAGACATTTATTTGTCTTGAGTGTGGCACCCAGTTCCTCCTTCAAGATTCTACCATCAAAATTAAGCAGATCCATCCTGTTGGGAGTGATTTTTGTGCATAGGAGCTGTTGGGAGTGATTTTTCAGGAAGTTAAACGTCAAAACTCTACCAATTTAATGAAAACATGTGACAAGCCCCCCCCCCCCCCCCCCGCCCCCCAAAATTGGGATTTCTTGGCTTCTCTGGTCGTTCTTCAAGCTGAAGGTTTCCACTTCAAACTCGGGTTCAAGCACCTCCAAAACCTACCCCATACGAAAAATGATTCCGCAAATGGGTTCCAACCCTCCCTGCAATTAGTTCAACGACCCTTTCCCTCTTCCCTCTCCGCTCATTGCAATGCATTCCTGCCCGGGATGGATTCTCCACGAATTCTCTTCCATCTGCCTGCGCTGATTATTTTGGGGGTGTTACTCTCCATCATGGCTAACGTTTTAAGCAAGATCTTTGCAAGATGTATTCTGCTTTGCCAAATAATGAGCTCAGCTTTCACAGAAACCGCCCAAATCCTCCTTTGTCCCTCCAGGAGAGCTACGTGAACCTTTCCAGGACATGAAGATTAAAAAAAAAAGAAAAAACACGGGACAACTTTTGAAACTCTTCTTCTCAAAGGAGAGGTCATTCCCCAAATCCTTAGCAATGCTCCCTTTGTGCAAAAAAAAAAAAAAAAAAAAAAGAGGAAAATTGCCTATTTTAGCTTTTCTTGGCCATTTTCCAAAAGCATAAGAAAGCTGTGGAGGCAAAAAAATGTTCTGTATGCGTTTCTCCTAGAATATGGAACTTTATAAGTGGGTTTTGGCCAGAGGTGGGTATTCAGCAGGTTCTGACCAGTTCTGGAGAACCGGTAGCGGAAATTTTGAGTAGTTTGGAATACTACCTCTGACTGGCCCCGCCAACCCCATTTCTTCTCTGCCTCCCATCGAGTCCCAGCTGATTGGCTGGGGCTCCTTGGGTTGCCCTGCACAGGAGAAGGGAGCTGGAAAGCAGGCTAGTGGGATGGGGAGGGAGGGGGGACTTTGCAGTAGATCCTTCCCCTGCCACGCCCACCAAACCACGCCACATGCACCAAGCCACGGCCACAGAACCGGTAGTAAAGAGGTCACAGGACAGGTCACTAGACTGGGAATTTTAAAACCCAAATTTCCCAAAAGAAAGAAAGGATGAATAACTTTCTTTTCTCCTTCACTGCTGGCAGGAAAATTCAGTTGACGTGTTGTTCACATAGTCACCAGGAACTGAACTCAGCTTGAAGGAGAATTGACCTTTGCTTAAAAAAACTGCATTGCAGATTTTTAAACAGCTAAAACTCTTGGAGATTTTAAGAAAAAGAAATTTAACAACCAACTCTCTATTCATCCAACCCCGAACATCATCAGTCCATGTTAGAAATGCTGAAAAAAATTCTCAGGAAGAAAAGCATATTGGAGTCTCCCTAAGTCACCAAAACGTAACAGGGCTATGAATCATGGAGTTTGTAGTATTCATAATCCTGAAAATAATACTAGTTGTGGAGGGAGGTGGGGAGGAAATAATTTCCCTGAAGTTAAAAAAGGAATAGAAAATGGCAAGACCAGCACACGTCTGACTAAGAAGCTCTATTACTGTACTTCACCTCACTTCAACTTCTTTTTCACTACGCTTCGCTTTAGCTATGTGAAACCCACCCAGCTACCGTTTCAAACAATAACTTAAATCATTTCAAAGAAAGAACAAACAAGCCTGCAAAAAATAAAAATCAATAAGCTTTAACTAACAAGACTCAACGCCTTCGGAGGCGCATGGAGCGCTGTTCCCTTCTTCCCACCAAAGGGGTCCCTGTTTTCCTACTTGCATTTTTTATGTGCTTTCGAACTGCTAGGTTGGCAGAAGCTGGAGCAAGTAATGGGAGCTCACTCCGTGACGCGGCACTGAGGATTCAAACCGCCAAACTGCCCACCCTTCTGATCGACAAGCTCAGCATTTTAGCCCCTGAGCCGCTGCATCCCTTCACCTATTAAAATTGTTTCAATAACCAGGAAGGGCAGAGCAAAAAGTGAGATTTAGCGAAGCATCCGCCCCTTAGCTTTGCAAGCAAGCAGAAAAGCCGGAGCCAAAACCCGAGGCGAATTCAGCAATGTGGCAGAACGGAGAGAAAAGACCAGGAGGACGGAAGTCCCCAGATGAAGGGATGGGAGGAGTCTCCTTGGTTGGTTGCAGAACCTCTGTTCCCCTCTAAGCTAACCTGACATTTGCTTTGTTACAGTCTCTGCCGCCAGCTTAG